ATATAATAAATGTTTTTAAATTCCTGGATTTTGTAATGCTGTAGATGAATTAAAGTGGTCATTTCTTCATTCAGTCTTAAGTATTGCAGTGTGGTTTTGTTCAGGAAGTCTTTTATTCTTTCCAAAGTTGAGAGTAGGGGAAGGGCTGCATTCTCACAATTGAGAGCTGAATATATCACCCTAAGGATTGTCACAGAATAACCTCATGCCATTGTTATGGACATAATTAATATTATACTGCATATCATGATATCTGATGCCATATTATATTACAAAAGTCTGCATGCCGTGACACAACTGACTCTTGGGCTTTTGGCGTTGAACACATACACCTTTATTTTCCAGATCTGACTTTCACATTTTATCACAGGTAAGGGTGACATTAGTTCACAGGTTGGTTGGCCCATCAAAGTAGAAAGATGTATGTGTGGCCTTTCTTTAAAAACAGGCTTCTTCCAGGGTTGTTGAGCCTCATTCACCTCCTCCAGGAAAGTAAATCAGGAGCAAGGTCAACTGAAGCTGGAAGTGTGTACACAGATCTTGTTATTTAAGCATTCCGAGAATGCAGTGTCCTATGCTTCAAAGTTGCATAATAAAGATGTTTGGCACTGAGGTTTTTGACTTGACTTTGTAGTGTGGCCTCTCAGGATTAGGCTATTTTTCTGAGAGTCCGGAGGTCCGGTTCATTGTGCCAGGTCACAGGAAGGGACATGGAAGGCCAAGGGAGGATAGGGTGGAGGATAGGGGAGAACAGGCTGGAGACCAGAGGCCTGAGATATTTAGAGGGCAAACTTTCCATCCTCCTTCAGACCCTCAGCCCCGCCTACACATTCGAACCACCTGGGAGCTTTTGAGAAATACTGATGAGGCCTCCTCCCCACAGACCAACGGAATTGGAATCTCTGAGATTTGGACCTAGGCAGTAGTATAAAAATACTACTCTCCAAAAGAGAAAAGCTCTCCAAAATTTTAATGAGCACATTGTGGCTTCTAGGAGTTCACATGTAGTTTAGGAAGGAAGTGGGGCTGGATATCCGCTGGAATCAGTTGGACTCACAGCATCTCATATTCCCTGGGAGGCTGGGAAGAGCAGGGACTACCTTCCACCCAGATCCCATTGTTTTTCCACCTCTCATGTGTGTAATTTGCTCCTACTGCTGAGTGAATACAAGAGGAATGTGATACTGGTGAGTGAATCCGAGAGGAGATAAAAATCACTTATTTAAACAAAAAAACACAGTTCCACAGGCAGGTTGGGGCAAGCTGGTTATTTTTATTCAGCACATTAGAGTTTACAACATCATTTCATATACGTTTGCTCCTCAGAGCCTTCAAGCAATCCTGTGGGGCAGGCATTATGGTCATTTGACAGATGAGGAAACTGAGGGCCAGGATGGCACAGCTGTTATGTGGCCAGCTGGAACCACAGCCTGTCTGGCTCCCAGTTCCAGGGCTCACTCTGCTTCCAAGCAGCAGCTTTAAAAGGCTGTCATTGATTTTCATTTTTTCTGCTTTGACTTATTATCATTATTATTTGAGACAGAGTCTTGTTCTGTTGCCCAGGCTGAAGCGTAGTGGCATGATCTCGGCTCACTGCAACCTCTGCCTCCTGGGTTCAAGTGATTCTCCTGCCTCAGTCTCTTGAGTAGCTAGGATTACAGGCACCTGCCACCATGTCTGGCTAATTTTTGTATTTTTAGTAGAGATGCGGTTTCACCGTATTGGCCAGGCTGGTCTTGAACTCCTGACCTCAGGTGATCTGCCCTCCTTGGCCTCCCAAAGTGCTAGGATTATAGGCATGAGCTACCGTGCCCAGCCTCTGCTTTGACTTATGAGACAAAACCCTCATTCTGTTGATTTGTTCATAAGCGTTTGAACACTTGAGGCAGGGGGAGTAACTAGTAAAACTGATCAGGGAAGTTGTGGGCTACAGGAGCGAGAAAAAACCACCACATGGCCCACTTTCTTATTCTGTCATTTACAGATAGATTGTGTTCAAGCCATCTACAAATTCCTTGTGTTTATCTATTATAGCAATAGATAGTATTTGGAGAACATATACTATAAAGCTGAGGTTTATGAAAAGGAATTCATTTAATTCTCCCAGCAAGCATACAGTGTAGCTATTATTATTGATCTTTTTTTTTTTGAGACGGAGTTTCGCTCTCGTTGCCCAGGCTGGAGTGCAATGGTGCAATCTCGGCTTACTGCAATGTCTGCCTCCCGGGTCCAAGCGATTCTCCTGCCTCAGTCTACCACGTTGCTAGGATTACAGACACGTGCCACCAGGCCCAGCTAATTTTTTTGTATTTTTAGTAGAGACAGGGTTCTTCTCCACGTTGGTCAGGCTGGTCTGGAACTCTTGAGCTCTGGCAATCGGCCTACCTCGGCCTCCCAACGTGCTGGGATTACAGGCATGAGCCACCGTGCCTGGCCTATTGATCCTGTTGTTATGGGTGGGGAAACTGAGATCCAGAGAGCTTAGGCAACTTGCCCAAAGTTTCACACTGGTAGGTAGTAAAGCCTAGATTTGAATCCAAACCATTTGGGGCCAGAGCTTCCGCGCTTCTTCATTATGTAATACTGCGCTGACCCCTGGAGCTTCAGGCCTGCTCATCAGAGGCCCCAGTAGGACTCTGGGCTTCTACCATTTCTACCTGTTTCCTTAGTCATAATAATCATTTATATTTATTGTGCTTTTATCATACATTAGGCATTGTTCCAAGGGCTTTAATTATGTCGCTTAATTTGTTAACGCTCAAGAATGAGCCCGAGAGGTGGCGCCTCATAGGAATGGTGTGCCCCAGTTCATGGCCATTCTTACCAGCCCCTATCTTGTAGCAGGTCCCCCTGTGCCCCTTCCAAAGCCGTGAAAGACTCTGTCAGGCTCTTGGTGACTGGGAAAGAGAAGTTCCTCTGTGCCCTCTGTGGTCATGGTTAGAACTCTGCTCAGCTCTTCCTGCAGGTCTTGGCGGTGGCATCCCAGTTACCTTCTTTTGAGTCAGTCTTGCCTTCTGCCTCAGCCTTCTCCCGCCATCCAGGTCAATGGAACGCATCCACTCAGACCTTCCAACAACATCTTGATTTGTCTATACAGCCAGGCCAAGTCAGAGGTGGCGGGATTTTATTCTGGGCTGAAGCCAGGGGATCCTTGCTGACTAACCATCCAACGAGCCAGGCCATCATGCAAGGGCCCACTGTTAGGTCCTGCTGGAAGCCAAGCCGGGGAGCCAAGTAGAGCTTTTTTCAGGTGGTTCTGGAGGATTCGCCTGGCGACTGTGCCTTCTTCCCTTTCTAGGTCTGTGAGGGTTTCCCTTGTCGTTTCCCTTGTGCACAGCTCTGCTCCCTGGCTCTGCTCCTGGCTGGATCCTTCTCAGCTTTCAGGGCTCAGGGCAGCACTCAGACCTCATTGAAGCCTTCGCTAGTCATCTTCTCCTTTTTAGCCTCCAGTGACTCTTAAATCACGTGTATTTCCTTTTCACACTCTCCAATCATTGTCTTTATTTATTTATTTATTTATTTATTTAAGACAGAGTTTCACTCTTGTTGTCCAGGCTTGAGTACAGTGGTGGTATCTCAGCTCACTGCAACCTCCACCTCCCCGGTTCAAGGGATTCTCCTACCTCAGCCTCCCGAGTAGCTGGGATTACAGGCACCCGCCACCACGCCCAGCTAATTTTTTTATTTTTAGTGGAGATTTACCGTGTTTCAGGCTAGTCTTGAACTCCCAAACTCAGGTGATCCACCCACCTCGGCCTCCCAAAGTATTGGGATTATAGGCGTGAGCCACCATGCCCAACCTTGTCTTTATTTCTTACTTACTGCCTACATTGCCCATGCAATTCTAAGTTCTAAGAGGACATGCGTTTTCTTCTTCACTCACTGTTCTGTGTACCTAGCTCCTGACACTGTGCCTGGCCCATAATGGGTGCTCAATAAATACACATTGAATGAAATAGTTGAAAAAGTCTCTGTCATTGAAGGTGATGATATTGACACTATGGCCAGGAGCTCATTTTCAACCTCACAGCCCTGCCAATACCCCTTTCTAGTTCATGTCTCCCACGTCTCCTAAATAAATCTGTACCTTGTTCAGGGATTCGTCATTGTTATTTGTATTGGCTAAAGGCCCCTGGGGCCTGTCTGCTCCTCCTCATTTTCCATGGTGTTGAATGAAGTTGTCCTGGTCCCTATGAACACATTCTTTTTTTTTTTTTTTTTTTTTTTTTTGAGACAGAGTCTTGCTCTGTCACCCAGGCTGGAGTGCAGTGGCACATCTTGGCTCGCTGCAACCTCCGTCTCCAGGGTTCAAGCAATTTTCCTGTCTCAGCCTCCCAAGTAGCTGGGATTACAGGTGTGCGCCACTATGCCTGGCTAATTTTTTGTATTTTTAGTAGAGACAGAGTTTCACCATGTTGGCCAGGCTGGTCTCGAACTCCTGACCTCAGTTGATGGCCGCCTGCCTTGGCCTCCCAAAGTGCTGGGATTACAGGCGTGAGCCACCCCGCCCAGCTATGAACATGTTCTTAGTGAATAAAATCAGAAAGACATTTGGGCTCTCAGTGCAGAAGGGAAAGTGTCGCTGAGAATGGATTTTTTGTTGTGCCTCTGTTGGGAATATGCATGTCAAATGGAAGAGTCCTAAAGAGTCCCTTTTTTAGTTTAAACAGCTAAAAAAATATGCCCTAGGCAGTATGCTAGGTGTCTGGCAGCATGCACAAGCCAAGCATCTACATTTAAGGGGCTTTCTGTCTCTTGGTGGGAAAGGACTTGACTGCATGACAAGAAGACACCAGCATATGAGGCACAGTCTCATTCACAGAACCAAAGATGATCAGTACTTTGCTTATAGCGGCGAATGGTTACTGAGGTCTGGGGAGGTTTCATGGGATTTAGTCACAGCCCTGTAACACAGAGAGGATTTGGGTGAGTTTACTTGTGTGTGTTCTGTAGCCTTAGTGAGTGTTCTGTGTGGTCACTGGTTTTATTGTTTCCTCTAGATACAGCCAGAAGATGCCCCAGTAGTTCTCTGGCTACAGGGTGGGCCAGGAGGTTCATCCATGTTTGGACTCTTTGTGGAACATGGGCCTTATGTTGTCACAAGTAACATGACCTGTAAGTATCCCTTGCACTATATTTCCTATAGAATCTTTCATCTGAGCCTCATATCTGCTCCAAAACTAATTTAGAGTAAACACGGAACCACTAGGACTAGCTTAACTGTTCCAGATTACCAAAACACAACTTTCTGGCAATGTCCATCCGAGAAGGAGGAGCCTCAGGGCTGTGTCCTGACTGGGCTGCTGTCTCCCTTGAAATTTGGGTGAAAAGTTCTAATCCGCTTTCTTGCAGTCTGCTGCTGACTCAAGCATTCTGGGTTTGCAGAACAGTTGGTATTTATTACAATTTGGGACAGTTCTTTGCAGGGGACTAATGGGTGGAATTGTATTCCTAATTACTCACATGAACTACACACTTTGTGGTTCAGTCACACTTAGGATCTGATAACTTGGAAGCAAGACGCTATTCCAGGTGGGGGCTGAGGTGGAGGAAGGATAAAGAGCAACATCTGGCTGTCACTAAGTTTACCTTCATCTCATTTTTTTTTTTTTAATTTTGTTTTCTTTCCCCTGGGTTAGAATTTGGAGTGTGAGCCAGTTTGTGACTCAGTATAAAGGCTTATGTGCCAGTTTTGTTGAAGTAGTTCTCTTCAAGAGATGGAGCCTTAAGGATGATTGATTTAATTGGACATACGGATATTATTACAGAGGTGGTTGGTGGGTGTTTTTTCATGTTCCAAGCTTTCGTTGGGTTTTGTTTCCAAGCTTTATCTCAGGTGTGGAAACGCTCTGGGCTGGGGGAACGTGAAGGAGAGGAGTGGAGAGGGTAAAGGTGCAGGTGCCTGTTCCCCACTATGACAGTATGAAGCATGTTAGAGGGGACACCAACAGCTCACGAGGACCGGGGAGTGTGTTGGGCTTCTGACCACTGTGAGGCCTCGGTGGAATGCTTGTCCACTCTATCTCACCCCTCTTCTCTGGTTTCACAGTGCGTGACAGAGACTTCCCCTGGACCACAACGCTCTCCATGCTTTACATTGACAATCCAGTAAGTCTGGGATGATCCTGTGAGTTGTCAGTGCTGGCCTCTCCTGTCTTTTACTTTTTCGTTTTTATTAAGTACATTTAAAAAAATAGATTTAGTTTTTCCTTTTCAAAATAGAATTTAATCTGTGAAATTAAAACCATTTTGAGATTTAGTTATTCTGTTAACATACATAATCATATCAGAGTTTGGCAGTTTTCCTTGCTGCCTTCTCTCATGTCCTCATTTTTTTTTCTATTGAGACGGAGCCTTGCTGTGTCGTCCAGGCTGGTGGCTCACTGCAACCTCCGCCTCCCCAGTTCAACCCGATTCTCCTGCCTCAGCCTCCCAAGTAGCTGGCACCTGTCACCACACCTGGCTGATTTTTTGCTATATTTTTAGTAGAGATGGGGCGGGGGGGTAGAGGTGTTTAATAGTTAGATAGGCTGGTCCTTTTTTTTTTTTTTTTGAAACAGGAGTCTCGCTCTGTCGCCCAGGGCTGGAGTTGCAGTGGCCGGATCTGAGCTCACTGCAAGGCTCCGCCTCCTGGGGTTCAATCGTTGTCTCCGTGCCGGATTCAGCCTCCTGGGGGAGGAACTGGGACGTACAGGCCGCCCGCCCTCGCACCGGACCTATTTTTTTGTATTTTTTTTAGTAGAGACAGTGGTTTCACCGTGTTTAGCACAGGATGTCTCGATCTCCTGACCTCGTGAATCTTGGTCCTCCCAAAGTGCTGGGATACAGGCTTGAGCCACCGCGCCCGGCCGATAGGGCTGGGTCTGGTAAACTCCTGGCCTGCAGGTGATCCACTCTGCCCTGTGGACCTCAAGAGTGAGGGATTAATAGGCTCTTGAGCCCACCGGCGCGCTGGCCACGTATTCTTAGTTTAATGCTATGAGAGTGCCCTGTTCAACTGGGAAGTGTAGATAATCAGGAGGAGGTAAATTTGTTTCTTTTTCAGCTGACGAGGTATGGGTTCCTATATAATCGAGTAGTATAAGTATGTAGTGTCAGAACTTGTAATCTTTCACAATCTTACTACATCTTAATCACATAGAGTTATAGACGTATAGCAGAGAGTTCGAAAAGGTCTCCTTCACTTTTTGAGTTTTTTGTAATTTTTATGGTTTTTTGAGATGGGAAGTCTTGCTCGTGTCACCAGACTGCGAGACCTCCATCGCTTCCCAGTCAGAAGCCAATTCTCCGGTGCCTCGAGCCTCCCGGTAGCTGGGAATTACCAGGACTTGGTGACCACCACGGCCTGGCAATTTTGGTGATGTTTTATGTGGAGATGGATTTCACCATGTTGGCCGAGGCTGGGTCTTGAACTGCCTGACTCATAGTGAGGGGTCCACCGGCACCTCAGCCTCCCACAGTGCTGGGATTACAGGTGTGAGCTACTGCTCCTGGCCTCCTTCACTTATTAAGACAAGCAGAATGCTTCATCTCTGGACAAAAGTGATACTCTCCTTGGGGAGGTCTTCTGATACTGTTTCTATTAAGGTGCAAAATAGGAGAGAAACTTAGCATCACCTTCTACAGATTTGGAGTATCTTTGTGTCCTTAACTAAAATCTTTAACTTCTTTCACTTTTCAGATGGTCCAAAGAGAACACCAAAAAAAGAGGAAAAAATGTCAACATGCTCGTTCCCCCACCTTGTTTTGTCAGCCTTCCATTTTCCTTGTCCACAACTGTGTATTTAAATAAAAGATGAATTAAACATCCTTGGGTGTTTGGAAAACAAAAACAAAAACACAAAAATCTTTATATCAGATAGGGAGTGCATTCCTTATGCAAATTGTTGACGTAAAAATAGTAGCTGCTGCTTCTAATTTACAGTTCAGTTGTCTGTGAACTTCCAGGTATAAGAAAATATTAGTTTAAAATTAGTCTTAATTATGTTAAAACTCCTTACCTACTGAAGATGAAATGGCTTAATGGCCATATTTCTCGAAAATAAAGAAAAGAAGGGGGAGGAGGAGGAGGAAGAGGAAGAAGAAGACAACATACAACTACCTTTTTCTCCAGCCTAGAGAGTTTCTTTTTTTCTTTTTCTTTTTCTTTTTTTTTGGAGACAGTCTCGCTCAGTCACCCAGGCTGGAATACAGTGGCATGATTTCAGCTCACTGCAATCTCCGCCTCCCAGGCTCAGGTGATTCTTATGCCTCAGCCTCCCCAGTAGCTGGGATTACAGGCACCCACCATCATGCCTGGCTAATTTTTGTATTTTTCGTAGAAATCGGGTTTCACCATGTTGGCCAGGCTGGTCTTGAACTCCTGACCTCAGATGATCTGCCCGCCTCAACCTCCCAAAGTGCTGGGATTACAGAAGTGACCCACCACACCGACTGAGAGTTTCTTCTTGGCAGGACAGAGCAAAGCACTCTCCAGGGAGAGGAGACAACTTTGGATCTTTTGATACTGTAGCAGGGGATGGAAAAGATGAATTCTTCTTCCTTAAATCAACATCTGGCAGAGTCTCCGCTGAGGACCAGGGCAGCTCAGCCGCTGACCCCAGGGCAAAGCTCTGTGTTGCTGTTTTGTTTGGGCTTTGGGGGGTAGAGAGAATAGGTGGCACTCAGCATCCTCCTGGGAGGAGGGCTAAAGGCACGGGGAGATGATGGCAAAAATCTGAAGTCTGAGCTTGGCCTTTGGAACAAGGTCGCCTTCCAGTGTGGGACCTCCCTGCAGGTCTCTTAAGGCATGTGTTTCTCTGTATTTATACCTGCTTGTCTATTTCTTCTGCAGGTGGGCACAGGCTTCAGTTTTACTGATGATACCCACGGATATGCAGTCAATGAGGACGACGTAGCACGGGATTTATACAGGTAACATGCTCCCGCTTTCTCTTGGCCTTCTTCAGACCAAACATTTTTCTATCTCAACAGGAAAATTATTCTAGCATTGGAATTATTATTGACTGAGCCTTATAGTCCAATTCCTGAAGATAATTTAAGGATACTTTCACGTCCACACACAGCAGAATTTTTCAATTAAAGATTATTTTTTAAAACTTTCAACCAGACATCTGAAAGGTTTCTGCTTGTTTTCCAAAATTGTATTTAACTTTGCATTTCTGGGGAGACAACATCTTTTCAGATATTTGTTTGTTTCCCAGGATTCTTCTTTTTGTGGCTTTTGGATGCAATTTTTTACTTTCTGCTTCTAGTTCATGACTTGTCCATGCTGAAAACTTAGCTTGTTAGTCTCTAGTATTCTCCCTTCTTCTTGTGAAAGTTTTCTTTTGCTTAAAAAAAAAAAAAAAAGGAAAAATGTAAAGTTGTAAGTCTGGCCAAATAGTGTCCATATAATGTCTCCCTTTCTTTATTTACTCATATTAATCAGTGCTATTTTTAGCATTTTAAAAAAAGCAAATGACCTTTCTTATTTGGTCAGATTTTTCCAGTCTACAAATTATTACTAGAGACCAAATCCTTTCTGGTCACTAGGGCACCGCTTTATGCATTATAATAATTTACTAAATTATTACAATAATTTGCTAAAAGAACCCTAGTGGCCAGAAGGAGTTAACTAGCTCCCTACCCCACACCTCCACCAAGCACTCTGTTAATTACTACCAGTCCCCAAAGCGAAAGCGCATCTAATAGGAGTCAGAGTTCGCTGATCTCGGACAAAAGCTTTCCGTTTCACTTTTCTTTCTCTCTAAGGCAGATAGGTGGCTGGAGGGAGAGAAGAAAGAACTACTTCCAAGCCCCTTTCCCAAAGATCTCTCCCTCTGCCCACCTAGAAAAGAATATGGCTGTTGTCTTCTCCACTTTTGTTTTTCACATGTTCCATGATTCAATCACTTCTATTCAGTGTCTAGGGGGATGCCCAGGACCCCACACTTCTGCTTCCATGTACAGTGGGGTCCTAGGGACATATTTGCCAAGTTCCTGGTGGGGTGTTCCCCCCAGCACCCCCTCCCCTTCCCTCCACAGACGTGACGGACGGCAGTCCTCCTCACAGGCTTCCTCAGAGCCAGGGCCAGGGCTCTCTTGGCACTGTGTGCTCTCTTTCTTCAGATTAGAGACCTACTCCCCACCCCCACCTCCCATCCCTCTTTGGTTTTAATCCAAACAAGCTCAGTGGTTAACTAGCAAACACCCTGAGGGCAGAGGTTCTGTATTGAAGAGCTGCATCGGCCCCCTCTAAGACAGAGCATCACTGCCAAGCCGTTTCTGTGTGTCCTTCCCCTCCCCCGAAGACTGTTACAGCTTCCAGTTGCCCCTCCATATGGGGATGTCGACTGCTGACATGTGGTCCATCTCCTCTTGCCTGACATGTAAAGGGAACCTATTTCAAAGCATCTATTGTTTATAGCTGTTGTAGTTCTTTTTGCTTCGGGCTCTTAGAACTGGAAAATAGCTAATCAAGGGTAGTGCAGAAAACTGATTTCAGCTGTTTCCTTTATAGTTTACACTCTTCGTTTCCCTTTGTGGCCACATTCTTCTCTCCAGCTCTCCAGATGGGTGTTTGCAATAAGAAGGTCGCTTGGAAACCTGCAAACGGGCTACTACAGGTTTAAAGAGTGGAGCTTTCATTTGCTCCCTTTGAAAACCAACTTTCATTTTTCTGAAAATCCCATTCTTTTGGACTATTAATAGTGCATGGCTGTAAGGAGACATTTACCATTCACAGTTTTGCTGCTTTTGTGTTTGGAAATAAAACTTTTTCACGAACAAGATGTTAAAATACTCTCCCTGTTTTCTTATTTGGAATGTGCTATTTAGTCACAATGCCTCTCTGGTTTAAAAAAAATTATGAAATTTATTAACTTTGATTTGGAGTACACTAGCTGGTGCCACTCTTCTTCTGCCATTGTTTACCAATTGCCTATTATGTGCCAGCTGCTGTTCTTGGTGCTGGTGAGACAGTAGTAAGCAATCCCCAAAGCCCCTGCCCTCCTGGTGCTTAGTCTAGTGGTGGACCTATAGTTATTTTCTTAGCAGCCAAATGTAAGCGCTACTATAGTTTTCTCCTACATGTTGGTTTGCAATGGGAAATGATATGTAGTGTTGCTAAACAAAGCTTCATAGCAATGCAGCTAGGAAGCAGGCTTCCTATATTAAATGAGAAAACTCTGTGTCCTGTGCCAGGTGGAGAGGATCATGGCTCAGCCTCGCTAGATGTTGAATGAATGCAAAAGAGGCTCCCCTCACCGGCTCCAACAGAGCAGCACTGCCAGGATTCCTGTTGCTGAGCTTGTGTCGGTCCAGTGCAGGGCAGGTGAGCCCCAAAGTGGGGCTTAGCCTGTGAGGGGTTTTGGCTTTGCCCAGGAAAGAATTCAAGGGTGGCCGGGTGTGGTGGCTCACACCTGTAATCCCAGCACTTTGGGAGGCCGAGGCAGGCAGATCACCTGAGGTCAGGAGTTCCAGACGAGCCTGAGCAACATGGAGAAACCCTGTCTCTACTAAAAATACAAAAATTACTTCTTCTTGGTGGTGCATGCCTGTAATCCCTGCTACTCAGGAGGCTGTGGCAGGAGAATCGCTTGAACCTGGGAGGCAGAGGTTTCGGTGAGCTGAGATCATACCATTGCACTCCAGCCTGGACAACAAGAGCGAAACTGTCTCAATTTAAAAAAAAAAAAAAAAAAAAAAAAGAGAATTCAAGGTGAGATGGAGGTAGAAGAAAACAGCTTTATTGAAGGGGCAGTGTTACAGCTCCATGTCTACTCCTGCAGGGCTACTGCCTAGTCAGAGTAGCAACTTAGGGCAATTTTGCAGTCATATTTAAACCCACTTTTAATTACATGCAGATTAAGGGTTGGTTCATGCAGAATTTTCTAGGGAATGGATAGTAGCTTTTGTGTCTTTGGGTCATTGCCATGGAAAGGGGTGGTAACGCTGGGTTGTTGCCGTCACGATGGTAAACTGACATGGCCCACTGATAGGCGTGTCTTATGGAAAGCTGCTTCCGCCCAGGCCCTGTCTTAGCTAGTCCTCAGTTTGATCCAGCATCCAAGCCCCACCTCTGTATTTGAGTCCCACCTCCTACCTCATGTCCACTGCCAGTGACTGTAGGTACACTTTGCTTGGCTTTGGTTGGTATGGAGCTTTTGCTTAGATTACCTGAAACTCGATTATCCTGAATGTTGCTTGTGTTTATGATTATGCTTCTCAGTCCATTAGAACTGACCAGATTCCAGTGCTGTCTTTGGGTCTACAATGCATGATCATGTCCACTCACCTTTTCTGCCCTGCATCCACCTGATCTCTGTTTAAAAACTTATCTGAGGAATAATTTTCTTGTAGTCATTCTTCCTTGCAATCTCTGTTTCTCTTTTTGGTCCTTTAATATACATTTTTGCGAGCAGAGAGCCCTCAACTAAAATTCTGTTTATTAGACAAGTCCTTGGCACCATGCCAGCAAGGTGGCCAAGTGGAATCACCAGGAAGAAGCATGCTTCTTGTGCCATGTAGCTCTTGTACCTGAATAAATGCATGGAGTGTGCACGTGTGAACACAACGCTTATGTATTATTATTTTTGAGACTGACTCTCACTCTGTCACCAGACTGGAGTGCAGTGGCGTGATCTCGGCTCACTGCCACCTCTACCTCCCAGGCTCAAGCAATTCTGCCTCAGCCTCCTGAGTAGCCGGGACTACAGGCACCCACCACCACACCCAGATAATTTTTGTATTTTTAGTAGAGACAGGGTTTCACCACATTGGCCAGAATGGTCTCAATCTCTTGACCTCGTGATCCACCCGCCTCGGCCTCCCGCGGCGTGAGCCACCGCACCTGGCCACTTACGTATTTTTTATATATATATATATATGTTTAGCAGTTCTGCTTCTAAAATTTGTAATTTCATTTGGGCTTGATGCTAGATTTTATTTTCTAGAAGATGCTCACCATGTAATAAGAAGAGTTCTTGACTAAAATACAGTTAAATGAGCAAATGGCATATGCAAATCTAATTCACTAAATTTACTTTTTTCATTCTTCACTCTCTTTTAAGAAAAGAGAGTGCTACCATGCTACCAAGTGCTTGCTTTAAAAAAAAATAGCCAATTTTTTGGCTGTGAAATCAAAACTGTGAAATAAAACTTGATGATAATTTCCTCAAGTAGAGCCTTGCCTTGGAAACTTGAGCTGGAGAATCCTGCCATTTTCAAGATAGAAGTAACCTGGGAGATTATCTCCAAATAAGACTGTCAGATAAAACACAAAATGCCCAGTTAAATTTGAATTTCAGATAAACAACAAATAACATTTTAATATGAGTATATTCCATGCCATATTTGGAACATACTTATACTAAGCCATTATTTGTTATTTATCTGAAATTCAAAATTAAACCATGTCTTATGTTTTCATTTGCTAAATCCAGCAACCCTAATGACTCTCCAGCAAATACTACAAGGAAATAAGCTTTAAGCTAAAGCCAAAGACTTAATTGAGATTTACTATGCTAAATTATCTATTGCCATTCCAACAAGCAGGAAGAGAGAAAAGGAAGTAGATTTTAGCCTGAAGGTTGGAGAGGGAAGGGTGGAGAATGAATGCCTATTTTTATCTGCGTTCTAAAGCCAGCTTATTGCCAGCACAAACATAGAAGCTATAAAATACAGCTTCTCAGATTTAGTTGCTATAAAGGCCACTATAAATAATGAATACAGAAATACAACAAAACTCTACAGTAGTGTTTCATGGTGAATTTTTATGCAGCCTTTGAAAATTAATTATAGCTAGGATCATGGTGATTGTAATGACCCAATTTTGCCTCTTTGTAACCCTTGAACTTCGCCATCCTCCTGGGTTTTCAGAGCCTCCTTGCCTTTCATCTTCCCTGAATGGTTCATGGCTTTTAGTGTCTCAGCAGGAAGCTGGGCCAAAAACCTCCCCTAGCTTCGCAGGCACTGCAGTCTGGGTCAAAACACTCATAGAGCTACTGAGTTTCACAAGTTTTTGTTTTCCTTTTTTTTGAAATATTTTGTTCAAGTAAAGAATCATTTAAAAATCCACTGTCTTCTTGCTTACTGTGAAATCACTCCTTGAGTCTGTTAAAATCTATTTCATCACTGAAGTGGCTATTGGCATTCTTTTTTTTTTTTTTTTTTTTTTTGAGACAGGGTCTTACTCTGTTGCCTAGGCTGGAGTGCAGTGGTGCAATCTCAGCTCACTGCAACCTCAGCCTCCCGGGTTGAAGCGATTCTCCTGTCTCAGCCTCCCAAGTAGCTAGGACTACAGGTGCGCACCACCATGCCTGGCTGATTTTAGTAGAGATAGGGTTTCACTATGTTGGCTAGGCTGGTCTCGAACTCCTGACCTCGTTATCTGCCCGCCTCAGCCTCCCAAAGTGCTGGGATTACAGGCATGAGCCACCGCCCCTGGCCAGCTGTTGGCATTCTTTAGTAAATGTGTTTTTCTTTTTTTTAGCCCAGAGGCTACTGTACATTTATTTCAATATCTGTGGCCATTTGCTGTTTTTCTTTTAAATTATAGTCATCTTACAGTTTTTGTGTTCTTTGGTCATTAAAATGCTGACATTCTTGGAGCTCCAGCAGAAGTGTTCAGAGTCCCCCACAGTGGGGGTTGGTAAGCAACTAAGATTTCCCTCACTTCACCACAAATCTGGGCTAATGGGATCATAAAGTTTGCAGAACTACCTCCAAGAATTGCTACGTAACATGTGAAACCTGTATTATTTGCTCAAAGTGCCCTCAACAGTTAGATGATCCAAACTGGTAACTCAGTGATTTGGAAACATGCCCATAGTATTGATGTCCACTTGTCCAAACTTCTTATTATCAAAGTAAGCCCACACGTATTGTGTAAATAAAATGTCCTACAGGAGCTCATAGCAGAGTGGTATCTTATTTCAAATGTGAAACCTATTGCCAAAGGGTTAGATTTGATATCCTAGCTTGAAGAGCTCCTGAATCATTTTTCTGATTAATTTGTATTGTTTTTGTTCTTCTTTTTGCAGTGCACTAATTCAGTTTTTCCAGATATTTCCCGAATATAAAGATAATGACTTTTATGTCACTGGGGAGGTAAGTAGAAGTCACGTTTCCTTGTGTGCTTCAAACATCACCAGAACTGACATATATTATGAGTGTAGTTTGTTCGTTTAAAATCTATATACATATATACATGTACACATACATATCAATATTGATTCAGCCTATATTCAAAATTCTCCCAATTATCAAAATACCCTTCATAACTTTTTTTTTTTTTTTTGTTTTGGAATTTCGCTCTTGTTGCCCAGGGCTGGAGTGCAGTGGCGCGATCTCAGCTCACTCCAACCCCTGCCTCCCGGGTTCAAGCCATTCTCCTGCCTCAGCCTCTTAAGTAGCTGGGATTACAGGTACCTGCTACCACGCCTGGCTAATTTTTGTATTTTTAGTAGAGATGGGGTTTCACCATGTTGGCCAGGCTGGTCTCCAACTCCTATTCAGGTCTTGTGATCTGCCTGCCTCGGCCTCCCAAAGTGCTGGGATTACAGGCATGAGCCACTGCATCTGGCCCTTTCATAACATATTTTAAATCCCAGGACTCAATGCATGCTCTCATATTACCATGGGTGCACTAGGTAGGCTCAGTCACCTACCTTGTTTGTTGTCCTCGTCATTCATGGTGATGATTTGAAGAGTCCAGGCCAGGTGCTTTGTAGAATGTCCCATATTCTGAATTTGTCGGATTTTTTCCTCAGTGCTTAGGTTATGTCAAAACATTTGAGCACGAATATTACATAGATGGTGTGTACTTTCTGGTGCCTCACATCAGGAGGCACAAGAAGTCAGTTTGTCCCACTGTTGATGATGCTAAACTGGATCCCTCTGTCAAGGTGGTGTCTGCCAGATCTTGCCATTGTAAAGGCACCTGTTTCTGTTTGTAATTAATTAATAATTCAAGACCATTTGAACACTGTTCCCTCAAAAATGCCACCCAGTAGTTTTAGCATCCATTGATGATCTCTGTCTGAATCAGTTATTACACTGGGGGTGATAAAATGGTGAGTTTTCTAATGTATCTTTCTGTGGATATCACCTGGCATTCTTCCATAGGGAAAATTTTTCCCTTTTCCTCTTATTACTTACTTTTAAAAATAGTACTGTGGATTCACAGACTGTTATTTCTATTTGATCTGTTAAAATTTGTTTTGTTTTAAATGCTTTCATTGTTTTAAATTTGGTCACTGGAAACCCCTTCAACTGGCTCCTGTGCCCTTTTTACAGGTCCCCATTAGCCTCCAAGCATGTCCTTGCTTTTTGACACAAATGTGTGTTCCAGAAGCATCTTGTACTTCTTGTACTTTCCCTGTCCTAGCCTTGGAATCAGTCAGTTCTTCATGGAATGCTGGTTCTTTTTCATGGGGAATGGCATTTAAAAAGCAAGTGCTAAGCACTAAGTGGCCCATTGCTGCTGGGATGTGTCTGTGGGCAGGGCTAGGAAACCAAATGACTTCATACTAATACCCATACTTCTGATTCCGTACCACAAGTTTCTCTTCTCTTTTCTCTGTTCCGTATTTGTTTACCCCTTCTCCCACATTGAGGGCTGTGGTTCCTAATGACATCAGTGTGTTTCCTCTTTTGCTTGCTTCTACAATATGCCCAAAATGGTTTCAGAATTACTACATGAGTACCATTACCAACAAGAAACATCAAAATTACTTTCAATATTTTTGCTGCAATTATTTTTATCCTTAAATTGTATCTCACTACACACTTACAATCAAAGTACTGTGTTTAAAAGTTAAAAGAATTCTATCTTTTTAAGGGTGATTCTGTTAAAATTTAATACACAGTTACATTCATTTGTCTATGTTGGTTTCAATTTTAGGGTTTGCTTTTTTCATCCTTTTTAAGATTATTTTAAAAATATGTACCAGCCAATCATTTAAGAACATAGGTGCAGTTCTAGGTGCTAGGAATATAATGGTGAATAACACTGAAAAACTACAAAAAAAAAATCCCTGCCCTACATTCTAGAGAGGCAGACAGTGATAACTAAAATATGTGCTAGGTACTGTACCATCAGGCAGTGACAAGCATCATGAAAGAGATGCAGTAGGGCAAGGGCCGGAGAGTGAAGGAGGTGCTATTTTGGATAAGATTGTCTGGGCAAGGCTCTTTGACAAGGAGATGATGAGCAGAACTCTGAATGATGTAGTGGGGGTAATTTCTGCAGTATCTGTAAGAAGAGCTTTCCTGGCAGAAGAAACAATGAATGCGAAGACTCTCCAGTGGGGACAGGCTTGGCAGGTTCAAGGAAAAGCACAGAGCTGCCGTGGTGGGAACTGAGCAGAAAGAGGCCAGTGGATCCTGCAGGGTCCGGCTGCCTGTGGCAAAGAGTTTGGACTTTATTCTAAGAGTAATGGGAAACCATTGAGGGTCCAGTGTTCACTGAAAGAACATTTAGAATAGAATTCAACTGAGCACAGATATATTGAGTATCTGCTATGTTTGAGGCACTGGACAAATATTAGGAATTCAGTGATTTATCAGACGTTGACTCTGCCCTAAATCTGAAGGTCTAATAATTACAATACAGATGAAAGGCACAATTAGAGAAATATTATCTCTGATCCACGAATCTTGAAAAAAGAAAAAAAAGTTAAGAAAAAAAATTAGAGAAGTAACTGTAAAGACTAATAGCCACAGGAAAGGTACCAATAGCTACCTCAGAATGGGATCCTCAGGAAAGGCCAAGCAGAGGAGATGGCAGTGAAACCAAGTTTTGAAGGATAAATAAGGGTGTGTTAGTTAAGGCTCTTTTGGTTGCAAGTGACAGAAACCCTATTTAAAGCAGCTTTAGTGAAACAGGACATTGATTGATTTAACGTCAGGTGTGGCTGGATCTGGTTGCCCATACTTTGTCATCAGGATTCTGCCTGTCATTCTCTCCTGATCTATGTACTTTGCTTTGTACTTTTCGGGTTTCATTCTTAGGCAAGTTCTTTTCATGTGGCACTCCCGCTTCTCCATCCATCGCAGGGCAGGTATAGCGTATCCATTCAACTTCCCTTTCCCAATAATTCCTGCCCTCCAGATTCCTGAATCTCAGATGATCCACTTGGATCTCATGCCTATCCTAGAGCCACCAACTGGACCTAGGTGGTTGGAATATACAGATTGGCCAGAATGGTGCCTGAGGCCCACTCCACACCCTGGAAGGGTAGGGACTGGGATGGGGGCCCTCATACTCTGAACCATAAGGCCTGAGAGTAGGAGATGAGTGGTCTCCAGAGGAAGATCCAAGTGATGATGCCAGAGGAAGGGCTGTAAAGATGCTGGCAAGCATGTCTGCGATGTACACTTTCAGGGAGGGAAAGAGGAAAATAGTCTGAGTTTTTCCAAGGGAATGGCAAGTAACTGAAGCTAGCAACTTCTCTCTTTTTTCTCTTTATAAGCTATTTGGAAGGGATATTCTGACTGTTTGGCATTCTACACTTTAGGTTTCTTAAGCCAGTTATGCAGTCAGGATGAGTTAGAACCTCTCCTGGTAATTTCTGGCTGTTCCTTGTCTTTTAACCAATTTCAGAGCCAGGTTAGGAAAGCGAATAGGAAGTGATACTCCCCATTATTTGGCAAAATATTTGGAAAATGCCCATTCTCCACCTCCTACAGAAGAGTGATCTACTTCGTGTGTAATGCCTTGTCTTGCAAATAATGTGGTGATGTCGTTAACCATGATGCTGATGTTGATACAAACCATGATGTTTGGTAAAGCTGCCAAATCCCAGATGAAAAATTTGACTTGGTTATTTCACATCTGCCTTGTGGTTTTATGCCTATAATTTCCTAATGTGTGTAGAAGAGGACAGTTTTCTTTTTACCTTCCTTGCTGCCAGGATGAATACTTTTAGGGAAACCTGTGCCTTCTGAGTGATGAAGGGAGATGTGAGGTAGAGATGCCGTTGTCAGGAGTTCTTCCCTGAACTACATGGGATACGTTCAGTCTGGGGGCACTGCTCTTTCTAGAAGAAAAAAACACTAAATAATGATGCCTTGATGGTTTATCATGAATATTAGAATGCTGTGTTTCTCCAGTCTCGTTGGTCCCATCTGGGTTGTCTTCTGTTTTAAGGCCATGTGGCAGAAAAGAGAAGCGGAAGGCATTCTGGATTAATCATTAGGAGCCCTGGGACTCAGGGCTGGCTTTGCTCCTCCCTGGATGATTTCAGGAAAGTCTTTCAGCCTCCCTGGGCCTCTGCTTTTCATCTAACAATCAGAGGAGTTGTTCAATTAGATCACTTACAGGGATATTTTGCTTTACTAGAAGTTCAAATGCAGTTATTTAGACTTACTCTTTAAGCATCTGTGTGTAATTGCAGTTTTAACGTAGTACCGATCCATTTTCCCTCTCGCTGCTGCCACCACCAAAAAAAAAAAAAAAAAAAATTCTTCTAGATTTTTCAAGAAAGAAAATTCCTTTCTCTTCTAAACTCTTCATTTTCTCACACTCTTAGGAAAGCGGAATAGTGCTGCTCAGTTTGTAGAGCCATCTTCAAAAAATAAATGCACAAATTCAGAATGGTTTTCTGCTTTTCAATGTAAATGCACCAGACCTAAATATCTCATGTTTGTGTGCTATGAATGAGAGGAACCTGATGCTCAAGGGGTCTGGAGCAGCTGTTCAGAACCTTGATTTGATGTAAAGGAGTCTGGAAATAATAATAGTACCTACTGCATAGGGTTGCTTTGAGTATTTAATTAGATAATCCTCCTCAGATATTAGCCTAGTGACTGTGGTGAGTACCCAACACGTGATGACTACTATTACCATTCATGTTGAAAAGCTGGGTTAATATATTATGACTCCCAAGCACACAGCCTAATGCCTGTAGACAAGAGCTGAAGTGTTAATAGAAGCTCCGCTAACTCATTGCTGGGATATGGCATTGTCCCCTCTACTCTATGTCTATGATTTTGAAATCATTTTTAAAAGCAATAGTTACTTTGTCTAAAAAAAATGGAGCTTAGCAGTTGACATTAGAAGTTGTGCTTGTTTTTTATATGGGCAGCAGCAAAATGTGTCAGGACCC